TTTTAACAAACTTCTTTCAACTTTTCAAAAATCAGGTGATAATTCTGATTTTTTAAATTAAATAAATAATTAAAAATATTTTTTATTTAAATATATTAAAATCACAATTACATATTTACAGGTCACAAATCACCGATCACATATTTCATCAATCACATATTACTTATTTGTCACATTTTATCGATCACATATAACTTATTAGTTACAAATTATCTATTTTATTGGTCACATATTACTTATTGATCACAAATTAGTCAATGCATTGATCACAATCAGCCAAATTGGTCACAAACCACTTCACCACCGCACCGCACCCTACCCTACCCTAACCATATTCCACCACCACCGTCGCCGCCACAACCACCACCTCCACCACGCCCCACCCTAACCCCAATCTACTACAACTACCGCCGCCGCCGCCAGTACAACACACCTCAAATCACCGCCACACCATCACCCCATGAGCCACCGCCTACAGAATCATCGCCTCATCGTCACATCAGCAAAGCCCCACGGCAGCCATATAACAATCTGAAAATGTCACCACCACCACCACGCAACATCACTGTCATTCACCATTAACCACGTACTACCATGAAATAAACATAAATCTCATAGCTACCTCTGCGTGACGTCACCACCACCATCAACACCAATGCGGCGCCGCCGCCGCCACCACCACGGCACAACTCTCTATATACGTAGATCTGGATCTGACCGTGACCACAGTTATAGCAGCCACATATCGGCTCTGTGCGATGTGTACGGATCCAAGAAATTCCATCGTAACACCTTTTCTCTACACATCGCTGCTATACAACACCGTGTTGCACACATGCCTGGTACAGAGCACCGACCTGAGTTTCCTGCAAGCAGCGCTTCCTGCGGGCGATACTGTGCATGTCGGCAGGGTCGTGAGCACTACGGTGCTCTTCTGCCGGCAGAGCTCTCTTGGCGAGGTGGTGGTCCTTCGTTGATTGAGAGAGAGATAAGGGAGAGGGATATGGAGAGGAGGAAGAGATGGATTAGGGTTTGAATTTGAAATTGTGGTGGGTGGATAGTATATGGGTTAGGTATATAATTAATTTAAATTTATAATTATTATAAATTTAATTTTTCGCTTGATTTTTGAACAAAATAGTTTATACCTTACGTTTGAATTTGAAAGTTTAATGATAGGATTTTGTGTAATTTTCCCTATAAATAATATAATTTTTATCATTCTTTTCAATAATTTTAATAATCAACTTACATTATAATCTAGTTTAATTTAGTTTATATAATAAGTAATAATAATTAAAATATAATAAAAAAATATAAACGGCAAAGGAGTTTCATTTTGTTGTCATTCCTTTTATATCGATTCAAGTATTATAAATAACAGCAATTTCTCGCTTTATACTTTATTGGAAAAAGTAAAGAATAAAATATTACTTCAGTTTGAAAAAATTATAATTCATTAATAAATTGTCAAATTTCATTTTTAATCAGACATTTCTATAAATCTGTAAACACTATTCATTTATTCTTTACTCGTTTTTATCTATTTATAAATTCTTTCCCAACGTCATATATCGACATTAATGTTACATGTACTAAGGATTTCTTGCTTTATACTTTAATAATAACAATAAAAAAAGAGAAATAAAGTCTCTCGTCCAGACACACATTCAAACTTCTTTTACAATCTCGTTACATGAACAATGATATTAATACAATTAGTAGCGGATGTAGACATTTTGAATTAGTGAGGCACAATCAAATTTGTAAAAAATAATAATATGAAAATCAGGTTTAATATACATTAAAAGTTGATAATTATTGTATTGGGTGTTTTGACTTTATGTTGACATAATTTAGTCATTTAAATTATATACCGTTCCATCAATTTTTTTTTAATTCGTTACTGAAATAACTCTTGTTCAACACATAATATAAATAAATAAATTTATTTATTTTCAGTATTTAGATGAGATAGTTCAATATTATATTAAAGTAAACAAAGATCTTGAGATCAAATTCTGATACCACCCATAATAAAAATTACGTATGAGTATAATCATGACGAAAATCAAATTAGACTTGAATTTGAAAGAGTGTATTGAAAATATAATTTAAATAAATAAGTGTAAAATCTAATAATTTTAATTTTGAAATAAGATAATTTGGTACCAATAATACACTCCACACTGAAAAAATTAATAAGAAAGAGATAATTAACTAAGGAAACTCTCATTATGATACAATTTCTCCACGTATAATCTTTAAATTCAAGGTACTATATATATCGTGTAGACAATTTCTTAAAAATTAGAGGAATTGTTAAATCTTTTTTTACTAATTCTTAAATTTTCTAGAATTTGTTTATTAATGATTGTGAATGACTGAATTTTTTCAATCTTTTCTACCTTAGTTCTTTAAAAGCAAGTCAAAAAGATTGACATATAAAACCATCTCATTTAATTCGTTAAAAATTGAAATTAATCACTAAATTTTATCTTAACAAACGAAAGGAAAATAGAAAATGAAAATTAAATGATAGATGAACTAAGAATCCTAGATATTAAAATGATATATGCTTTGTTCATTGGAGACTTATTACATAATTTGTGGTCTCAAAGATAAAGTAAAAACCATGAAACAAACATCTAAAAAATAAATAAAAATTGAGTGAAGAAAAATAAAACCCTCTCAATAAAAAAAAAAATTCTCATTGCTAAAGAAAAAAAGACCGATTTGTAATTAAGCCCCTGTTTGACACCCATTTTTTTTCATTTTCATTTTCATTTTCATTTTCATTTTCATTTTTTTTCTCTTTCTTCATTTCAACCACACATTTTATCAATAAAATAATACTACACATAAATCCAAAAATTCTCATTACTTTTTAACCACACATTTTTCCATCAATCACTATTCCAAAATTTATTTTTTGTCAAAAATGGGTGTCAAACAGGGGCTAAATTTTTACATATTAATTGGTTGTTTTCTTTTTAGGGGAGCGTTCAATGAACAAAGGTTTTTGACAAATAATCTTGACCATTCATTAGTTTTTAATCCAATGATTTACATAAATCATCATTTTAATTAATCACGGCCTGCAAATTCAGAGGGATTTCTCCTCCCAATCGCCGGAGCATTGGTATTGACGTTGACTTAGAACGCATCGAGTGATTATTGGTAAGAGAATTAGCCGACCGACAATTCCAAAATCAGAGCTGCAAAAACAAAATCCTCAACAGTTTTGTTAAAGTAGGATTTCTACATTTGTTCTATCATCAATTGAATTCTTACAGTCCATTCATCCTAATTTCGATCTATTTTTCTTTTTTCAAAAATCTGTGATTATCATATAACAAAAAACACCAATTGAGAAATATATGGCCGATGGGGAGGAGAAATCCCACAAAAATTTGCAGTAGCAGGGGGTCTGTGCCCCCCCCCCCCCCCCGCCTC